CGCCACAATGTCCGGCTATTTTTTGGTTGCAGCCATCATTGTTGTTTGGCGGCCCAGGCTGGATTCGAACCCGCCACTTTAGGTGTATGTGGCTGGCACCTTAGCCACTTGAGCCACAGGTGCCGAGCTGTGATTAATTATTTTATTAAAATGTTTTGGCTCAATGTAAATGGAAAGTTTTATCTACTATTACTCCACTTCTTACTATGAAAAGTTTGTTTGGAGCAGCTAGGCATGGGAGATTTGCATAATAAGGATTTGTTAGGCTCTAACGTCCACGGGGTTTGGATCTCTATATACACAGTACATCAATATGTTAGGCCTATTTTAGTGGTAAAATATCTCAAAAAGGTTGATATAATTATGTAATTAAATCCCGGACACTTTTAGCTCCCTCTACAGTGAGAGTTAAATAATACACAACCAAAGGACAGGTGTTGCTTAGTTGATTTGTGCTTGTTATATTTACTGGAATGAGTTGGTAAGTTCATTTTCCCCAAGCCAGATGCAAAGGGGCTTTAAAGTTTTACATTTACTTTTAAAGTGTGTGGTTGTCTTATCAGAGATAAAATCCTGAATATTTTGAGGATAAATAGTACTTTTTAATAAGATACTAATGGATCTTTTTTCTTACAGTCTGAACCAATCAAAGTTCTTGTGACTGGAGCAGCTGGTCAAATTGCATATTCGCTGCTGTACAGTATTGGAAATGGATCTGTCTTTGGGAAAGACCAGGTAGGGGCAGTGTTAATAAAATCTTAGATCATTAGATAAGAATATTATTAATAAAACCCTGTATTTAGTTGCAGACAAATTAGAAAATAGTGAAAGAATGGGTAATCCCAATAAATGTAATAAGCACATTGCTATACATCAATGCTAGTAAACTATTTATATTCATCTTTCCTGGTGTTGAAAGCACTACACACTGGAACTATTCCATGTGATGTATTGAGTTGACTTGGTGACCAGCAAAGGTCAGTCAATGGAAGATATCACTAAGACAATAACTATTAAGAGTCATGTGAGAAAGTTGTTACATCAAAACTTCCTTGTTTATAATGGTCTTTAGAACCAAAATAGACAGGAAATCTGTTTCTCAGGTAGAAGCAGGCATTCCAACTTCTAAGATTAATACACTTTAATATCCTTTTCTGAAATATTCATTACTTCAATCTTTACCCAAGGACACTACTTAACTTTCCATGAACTGAAATTGACTATACAGCTGTTAATAAGAACAAGCTATGACATGTCACTTCAACTTGACATTTTATCCATGTACTCCTTTAAAATTCAGTAATGATCATTCTCACTGCATCTATTCACACAAAGCACTGCTGTTTTTTAGCATTACTTTTTCTCAAAGTGGCATATCCTTGACCTCCATTTTTACTGTGACTAATTAATAGGAATTATGTACATATACATACCAAATAAAAGCTATGTGAAAGGACTTTTTGTGAATAAATGACATAACCTACACTAACAGACACTTTCCTTGCTATTTGGCAGCCTGTAATTCTCGTGCTGTTGGATATTACCCCCATGATGGGTGTCCTGGATGGTGTCCTAATGGAACTGCAAGACTGTGCCCTTCCCCTCCTGAAGGGTAAGTTAGAGAGTAAAGAAGATATTTTATAAACCTATTTTATGCCTTACAAAAAATTGGTTTTAGATTTTTGTTAAAGGCTCTCAATTAAAAGTTATTTCATTTTTATTTTATTTTTGTTTCTTGAACTAGAGCTAGTCATTAAGGTATATGCTGACAATAAATAAGGGTAAAAATAAGAAATAATCAGTGTCAAGTAAAAAGACTATACTTTTTTCTCCAAAATGTCTATTTATAATTTGGCTCGGTGCCTGTGGCTCAAGGGGCTAAGGGGCCAGCCACATACACCTGAGCTGGCAGGTTTGAATCCAGCCTGGGCCCGCCAAACAACAAGAATGGACGTCTGCAACCAACCAAAAAAAATAGCCAGGCGTTGTGGCAGGCGCCTGTAGTTCCAGCTACTTGGGAGACTGAGGCGGGAGAATCGCTTGAGCCCAGGAGTTGGAGGTTGCTGTGAGCTGTGATGCCATGGTAGCTCTGTCTCAAAAAAACAACAAAACAAAATGTCTAAATATAATTTTTATGCTGATTAAGTATAATGTTGCAAAAGGGTTACACACTTAAGATTATATAGTCTCACACATTATAAGAGACACAATTATCTACATTGTGTCTAGTGTGTTGTTATTTAAAATCTGTTTAAATGGCAGTAGTAGCTTCCTGTAATGGAAGACTTCCTCAATTTTGATGGGTATCCTCCAGAACCATATACTACCCTGGAAGTTGGTCCCTCATATGTGGTCCTATCCTATTTGCCAGTCCATCAGGTTGAGACATAGTAAATTATCCTAATCATATACCGCATAGTTTGAAAAAACCACAAGAAATTCAGCTAAATGCCTTTGAGAATCATTGAACTGTTACCCAAATGTAAGGCAGAAGTCTTAAATTTGTTGGAAAGATTTATTAAAGTATCAGAAACTAATTTGAATATTTTTCTTTAGCTTTAGCTTCATCATAGGCTTTTTCTTTCAGTAAGGATTAATTGATACTGTCCTAGAAGTTTGGACAAAGCAAAATGTATATACATCCCAAGAAAAACCTTCTTCAAAATTTTTATATCATCTCTGAAGATGCAAATGAAATGAAATTAAAATTAAATAAATTCTCATATCTATCCAGTAATTATTTACTAGAAAGAATACTCTAGCATCTAAATCATTTTTTTATTTATTAAAAAAAAATTTTTTTTTTTTTTTAAACAGTCTTACTCTGTCGTCCTCGGTAGAGTCTGTGGTGTCACAGCTCACAGCAACCTACAGCTCTTGAGCTTAGGTGATTCTCTTGCCTCAGCCTCCCAAGTAGCTGGGACTATAGGCACCCACCATAACACCTGGCTATTTCTTATTGCAGTTTGGCCCCAGGCGGATTCAAACCCGCCATCTTCAGTATATGGGGCCAGCACCCTACTCACAGAGCCACAGTGCTGCCCTAAATCATTTTTTTTTAAAAAAGAAAGACTAGGTGGCGCCTGTGGCTCAGGGAGTAGGGTGCTGGCCCCATATACCGAGGGTGGTGGGTTCAAACCCAACCTTAGCCAAACTGCAAAATAAAAGAAAAAAAAAAAAGAAAGACTATATGGCCCTGCTAAAGCTATTCATTTGGCTCCCTTTTCTCATCCACAGCCTTTTCAAATCAGCTCTATTGTTTCCCATTGTATTCGTTTCTCTGCTGAGTGCCCTCTTGTCTCTAATGGGCCCAGGGTACAGTCAGCTTGTCTTCTGGCAGATGTGAATATGACAAGGGAAGGGAAGGTTCAGCAAATAAGGGTGTAGGGCTGGAAAAAGGATGATTGATCCCTCCTCCCCCCAAAGGTCTTCCTACATATGCCCATTTGTGGACTTACAGCCACCTGACTATGCTACTACTTTATTGGCCTACAAATTTACCAGTGAAAATGTTGAATCTTGGTTATGGCCTTTTTAATACAATCAACAAAAGAGAATAATGATTTACATTCTGGCTCAGCGCCTGTGGCTCAAGCAGCTAAGGCGCTAGCTACATACACCTGAGCCTGCGGGTTCAAATCCAGCCTGGGCCCACCAAAAAACAATGACCCCTGCAACCAAAAAATAGCTGGGCATTGGGGCAGGCGCCTATAGTCCCAGCTACTTGGGAGGCAGAGGCAGGAGAATCACTTGAGCCCAGGAGTTGGAGGTTGCTGTGAGCTGTGAAGCCATAGCACTCTGCTGAGGGTGACAGCTCGAGGCTCTGTCTCAAAAAAATAAAATAAAAATTTTTAAAAATATTTTAAATTAAAAAAAAATAGTTTACATTCTTTAATTATATAGTAAGCAATGTTTGCTTATTGGACTTATGCTGTAGCATAGGAGTTTGAACTCTAGACTGACCTAGGCTAGAATTATAGCCCATGATCCTTTGATTGCAGCTAGTTAATCTTTTTAAATCTCTGTCTTTGTATCTTTAAAATGTGAAGACTAAATAAATCTGATAATATAAAATCTCTTAGCATTATCACTGGCATATTATCTTTCTTTTCTTAGGCCCCTGAAATCAGTGTGAAATGTAAAAGCAAACATTTCCTACTGGCAAAAGAATTAATGGATAGGTTCATTCTCTTTGAAAGAGAAGATTTCAGACTTTGATGTTTAAGTAGCTCTGAATATTTATTGCCATGTCCACAGATGTCATTGCAACAGATAAAGAAGAGATTGCCTTCAAAGACCTGGATGTGGCCATTCTTGTGGGCTCCATGCCAAGAAGAGAAGGCATGGAGAGGAAAGATTTACTGAAAGCAAATGTGAAAATCTTCCAATCCCAGGGGGCAGCCTTGGAGAAATATGCCAAGAAGTCAGTTAAGGTGACCAATATTGTATTTTATGGGGTGTTTCATGATTAGTATTTGAAAGTTATGTTTTCAACATTTATAAGTGAAAGTAAAACTGCCCTTTTTTTTCCAGTTCTGTGCAGTTGTCAGTAAATACGCATACTGAGTTTCCCTTTCTAGGTTTTTTTAGAGTTTAGAAATTTATATTCAGGGTATTCGAAAATATTTTGCCTATTAAATACTATGATGGGGAAATTTATATTTGTCCTTAAACCTATAAAGAAGGCACAGAACTTTATAGTGCCTTTTTGCTATGTGGAGGAGAGTTTATTCAGACACGTGGATTTGCATGTGAGTGTGGAGGGAGACAGCTATAGGACATGTTTATTCTCAAATAGCAGATGGTGAGTTCTGAATGGTCAGATTTTCTCAATGTAGAAGAATTTTAATATGCTTGTCTCTTAAGAAATTGTTAATATGCCTTTGTTCTCTACTTCTTTGTATTCAAGCTATTTCTTTTAGTTTCTAAATTTGTCTTAATGTTACAGTAATCCTTTTACCACTGAACTATCAATTAACTAGAACATAATTGTCACAGCAGATAGGCTTGCTGGTTAGAGGTTTTACTGATAATTCATACACTTTCCTATCCTGACTTCAAAAAAAGGTAAAAAAATTCATAACATTTTTAAAGTTGCCAATTAAACATTATAGATCTATGACATTTCATAGAAGTCTACATTTTTCTGTGGACTTCATTGCAAATAGTTAATTGGTATTTTCTGTAATCACTAACAGAAAATAATAGAAATGAGTTAAATGGAAACCCCAGGTCTCTTAGTAAGATTGCAAAATTGTTTAGACTGCTAAAATCCAGGATGTTTGAAGTTGTAGTATTATTTGCACAGTAATCTCACTTCCTCCAAAGTGTCCTTGTTTGGGGGAAACATTCACTAACCCTGGAGTACTTCAGGGCAGAGGACTACAGTATTTTGTCTGTAGCTTGCTCTCAGATGAGTGAGGCAAAAAAAGACTAAAGATGTGTGTGTGGAAAGAGATGGAGCAAATTGGAGAATCTGGGTAAAAGAGGTAGGGAGTTGGTCTTCCAGCTTTTCTATAAATTTGATATTTCAAAATAAATTTTTAAAAGATTTTTATAACTTTTGAAAAAGTCTATGTAGGCTCGGCGCCTATAGCTCAACCGGCTAAGGCGCCAGCCACGTACACCTAAGGTGGCGGGTTCGAATCCCCAGCCCGGACCCGCCAAACAACAATGACGGCTGCAACCAAAAAATAGCCGGGCGTTGTGGCGGGCGCCTGTGGTCCCAGCTACTTGGGAGGCGGAGGCAGGAGACTCGCTTGAGCCCAGGAGTTGGAGGTTGCTGTGAGCTGTAATGCCACGGCACGCTACCCAGGGGGAGAGCTTGAGGCTCTGTCTAAAAAAAAAAAAAAAAAGAAAAAGTCTATGTATACATTTCCTATGCTATATTGTGTGTATTTGATGTTTCCCAAACCTCCCCAATACAAAAAATAAACTGAAGTATTTTATCCTAAAGATTGATTCAATAGATGGTGAGCTGGTAATCTGTATTTTAGCAAACAGCTCAGGTAATTCTTAAGATTAGGCAAGTTTGAGAAACATTTTTAATTTGCGGAGATAAATCATGGTCTAAAATAAACTTTTCAGAATTTTTCTTAGACTACTTTCATAAGAAGGAAAATGTTATGACTCAGTCAAACAGATAGAGCCTTAGTTTTTCTTTTCTGGCAAGGCAACAAGATAAATGTTCTGTCTGTATTTTGTCACACAGGAAAAATAGAAATGCATATACCTTAGGTCTTAGACATGCTACCTGGACAGTGACTTATATACCTAATGGTGGTGGCTCTATTAAAGAAATGTTTTCTGTAGTCAAGCTCAACATGAACAAGGGAAAAAAAAATTTAGAAAGAAGGATAGAAACCTAAAAATTATGGTAGTAACTATACTGTGTATATTTAGCTCATACAAACTTGGTATAAACACTACTTGTTACACATTTTCAGTCAAATTCTAAGATAATTGAGTTAATAAATATATGATATGTAACTCTTCTGTGCCACCCACCATCCCAGGTGATTGTTGTGGGTAACCCGGCCAATACCAACTGCCTGACTGCCTCCAAGTCAGCTCCGTCCATCCCCAAGGAGAACTTCAGTTGCTTGACTCGTTTGGATCACAACCGAGCTAAATCTCAAGTAAGAAAAATTCATGTTAAATCTGAAGAATGTTCAACTTAAAAATTTTATTCTGTCACTTTTACAATAACTGAATCTGCTAGACATGGCAGTTCACACCTGTAATCCCAACAATCGAGGAGGCCAAGTCAGGTGGATCACTTGAGCTCAGGAGTTCAAGACCAGCCTGAGCTAGAGTGAGACACCAGCTGTGAATAAAACAGCTAGGCATTGTGGCGGGCACCTGTAGTCCCGGCTGCTTGGGAGACTAGGGCAAAAGAATCCCTTAAGCCCAGGAGTTTGAGGTTGCTGTGAGCTATAACGCTATGGCACTCTACCAAGGGCAACATAGTAAGACTCTGTCTCAAAAAAAAATGACAGTAATAGTAAAAAAATAAAAATAGAAAATAAAAAGTCAAAGATATGGCCCCACACAGTGGCTCATGCCTGTAATCCTAGCATTCTGGGAGGCTAGGGATTGCCTGAACTCAGGAGTTTGAAAGCAACCTGAGCAAGACCCCAGCTATGGAAAAAAAAAAAAAAAAAAACAGCCAGGCATTGTGTCTGGCACCTGCAGTCCCAGCTACTCAGGAGACTGAGGCAAGAGATTGCTTAAGCCCAAGAGTTTGAGGTTGCTGTGAGCTATGATCCTATGGCACTCAAACCCAGGGTGACTGAGACTCTGCCTCAGTAAATAAATAAAATAACTGAAACTTAGTTTGTGCTTTCATGTTGTTATTTTTCTTTAGGAGGAAACTGTTTTATTGATTTAAAAATGAATTATTATTAAATTTGTTAGGGAGTCTTTAAATCTTTTCGCTTAAGAACCAGGGTTGGACTTCCTGCTTAATATTATCCTCAACTGTATCTCAGTTGCTAACTATAATTAAATGCAATTGCTAATGTTCTCCTGCTACAGTGGCTAAAAATTAGTTACCAGTATAAATCATTCACATAATGGTACATAATTTAATTTTGTCAGATACATAGGAGATTATAAAAACAAAGGCTTGAGTTTAGTTTTTAGTTTTCTTTCTTTTTAACATTCTGTGAGTATCTATAAAATTTCCTACTTTCACTACTTAGGAACTAAACTTTGTTTTGTTTTGTTTTGTTTTTTTGAGACAGAGTTTCACTGTGTCACCCTCAGTAGAGTGCTATGGCATTACAACTCACAGCAACCTCAAGCTCTTGGGCTTAAGCGATTCTCTTGCCTCAGCCTCCCAAGTAGCTGGGACTACAGGCACCTGCCACAGCGCCCAGCTATTTTTTGGTTGTAGTTGTTGTTGGCAGGCCTGGGCTGGATTTGAACCTGCCAGCTTTGGTGTATGTGGCTGGCACCCTTAGCTGCTGAGCTACACGCCCCAAACCAGAGCTAAACTTTAATTGTTGTTATATTTCCCTTACCTCTTGGAGCCTTAGTTAAATAGGCCAAGGAGCTAGTGACCCAGGAATTAACAACAACTTTCAAAAACTTATAAGCCAGGCCACTCATCTGAGCTAGTTTCTTAGGCTTCTACAGCTTTAACTGGTTTTGGTTCCCTTGGAACCAAAATCATGATAAACTTCTAGTTCTTACACAAAGACATAGTTCCTTTGCCCTAGTACTTGCATCACGGCTACATATCTGAGCTAATGCTTTTCCTTCTAGAGAATATAACTTTGTACAGTTTCAAGAAAACTGATAATCTTTCAGTTCCAGAATGCCTAGTGAAAGAGGAAAGAATGTGCATTTGGTAATCTTCTACTGTAAGTTGAATGCTTTACATGTAATTTTTCAGTTAATTTTTATAGCAACCATATGATGTATCTCTAAGTAATAATCCCTGTTTTGGTGGCACCTGTGGCTCAAAGGAGCAGCCCCATATATCGAAGGTGGCAGGTTCAAACCCAGCCCCAGCCAAAATCTGCAAAAAAAAAATCCCTATTTTACATGTAAGAACTCTGAGTCCAGAGAAGTGAGGGAAGCTCCTCAGAGTCATATAGCTAGTAAATTATGGAGCCACCTGCATTTGTCTGACTCCAAACTCTTATATATGTTCTTACTTAATGATACCAAGTGACCTGAGTCTACTTACTATCTCTAAGACTTTAAGAAAGTCTATCCAAACTATAATTTTTTTTTTTTTTTTTGAGACAGTGTTTAACTTTGTCATCCTTGGGAGAGTGCCATGGCATCACAGGTCATAGCAACCTCAAACTTTTGGGCTTAAGCAATCCTCTTGCCTCAGCCTCCAAAGTAGCTGCACTACAGGCTCCTGCCATAATGCTTGGCTAATTTTTTAGAGATGGGGGTCTCACTCTTGCTCAGGCTGAGCTCAAGCAGTCCAGCTGCTTTGCCCTTCCAGAGTGCTAGGATTACAGGCGTGAGCCACCACACCCGGCCTATAAAATGTTTTATATACCTCAGAGTTGTTAGGAGAATTAAATGAAATCAATTTAAGCCCTTAGCATGGTACCCACACATAGTAAAACACAATAAAGGTTGGCTGTTGTTATTCAACAACAAATTATTCATTTTGTTTTTATTATTAAGAGGAATATAGCCTAAACATTCCAGTTAATTTAGAGGGTATTGGATAATATGCTTAAAATGCAAATGTTCTCTCAGAGGCTTTGCACTATGAGCTGGGTCTGGGAGCTAGGAAAGAATGAGAGATTGAGTGATTAGAGGCAGGAGATTTGGGTACTATGGGGCCGTTATAAAGGAAAAGATAGGCCTGTTGGGGTTGTAAACTCTGGATTACCAAATGATTACTTACTTAGTTCCTAGGGACAAAGAGGTAAAATGAGGACTCTTGAGAAATCCCTTTCTTTGCTCTTTCACCTAAGGCCTTGTGAAGGCAAGCTTTGGGAAATTCTGTTTCAGAGATTCCAGTCAGTGACAGTTTGTCCCAGTGCAAAACGATTTTCCTTACAGGAGCAAAGTTTGAATAAGGGGAGAGGGAGAAAAGAAGCTGTGTCATCAAACTTTCACCAACATGTTTGGCAGGTGGTCTTTGTTTTTCACAGTCCCTAGGTTAGGTAGTTTTCTAGCAAATCAATCTGGTACAGTGAGAGTTTTTAGAAGTTTTGTTTGTTTTTTTTGAGGCAGAGTTTCACCTTGTCACCCTTGGTAGACTGCTGCAGCATCATAGCTCACAGCAACCTCTAACTCTTGGTCTTCTCTTGCCTCAGCCTCCCAAGTAGCTGGGACTATAGGCACCCTCCACAATGCCCAGCTATTTTTAAAGGTGGGGTCACACTCTGGCTCAGGCTGGTCTCCAACCTGTGAGCTCAGGCAGTCCACCCACCTTGGCCTCCCACAGTGCTGGGATTACAAGCATGAGCCAAGAGGTAGGGTCACGCTCTGGCTCAGGCTGGTCTCCAAGCTGTGAGTTCAGGCAGTCCACCCACCTCGGCCTCCCAGAGTGCTGGGATTACAGGCACGAGCCAAAAGGTAGGGTCACGCTCTGGCTCAGGCTGGTCTCCAACCTGTGAGCTCAGGCAATCCACCCGCCTCAGCCTCCCAGAGTGTTAGGATTACAGGTATGAGCCACCGTGCCCTGCCCTCCTTTTAGAAAATTTTTGAAGAAACAGTTTTTTCCTCTAACAGATTTAATGGTCTACATGGAGTTTCTAAGGGAGTGAGGAACTGTTTTCCTAGGTAAGTATTAATTTAGACTAGCTTTGACATGAATGATATTCAGAAATTGTATCTATTGAGTGCAAAGTAGTTGGCCTTTGCTATTCAGACAAAAACGGATTATTGATTAGCTGAAAGAGATCAAAGGAGCAAGAGGAAGCAGGCAGTGAGAACAAAGGAAGTAAAGGGAGCCAAGGAGATCTGAGGGAAGAGAAGCCAGCCTGGAGGCATTTTATCTTGACTGTACTTGGGAGCAGTTAAAGCTGACATTCACTGGAATTATGGGCTCTAAGTTCTTGGTAACATACATAGTCTTGGGTTACTTGCCCAATGTATAAATTTTCTTTTTTTCTCTATAATGCCATCTAAATATAAATGTAAGTATAAGGGCAGTTCTTCTGAAGTCCTTTCAAGTCAGAAAATGTTATGCATTGAACTGCAGGCTAAGCAGATTGATAGCTGGTACCCCAGAAACCACCTGTCTGGTATTATAGATAATAATCCTAATACTTGCAGAACTCTATAGGAAGCAGAGATTAGGTCAGAAGTGAGACCATCACAAAGATATTTTAATTAATTTTTTAGATAATCTATTTTAGGATTTACAAAATTAATCTCAGCTGGTTTAAGGGTCAGAGTGAAAGTAAAGACAATTTACTTCTTAACTAAATAAATTAGTATGAAGGCCAATCAAATCATTGTAAACATTTTCGTGGCCTTTTTTCATCTCTATCCTTTTGGGTTGGGTTTTTTGGTTTTTTTTTTTTACTTTTTATTTTGGAATAATTATAGACTCGAAGTTGCAAAAATAGTACCATCTACCCATTACCGTGCTTCCTCCATTGGTGATATCTTATAAACTATAGAGCATTATCAAAACCAGGGTTGGTTTTTACTAAACTACACACAGTGCTGTTAACTAGATTTGACCAGTTTTTATATTTACTCATTTTTTTATGTCTCTGTGAATGATTCTGTGACATTTAACAATTACGTACCAAAGGATAGGGCCAGGAACTGACTCCACAGAAGTGGTTTTTATATATCTTGAAGATGGACAACCAAACATTTGAAAACAAATCATCAGTCCCTGACCCACCCTCCATTGGTAGGGGACTGTTTTAATCACATTCCTATATCCACCGTCATAATCAAGGAACAAATTTTCCCCATCACCCACAAAAGAACTCTTTCATATTCTCCCTTTATAGTCACACCTCCCTGTCCTTCCCTAAGTCCTGACAACCATTCATGTGCTCTCCTCCTATATAATTTTGTCATTTTGACAGTATTATAAAAATGAAATCCTGCAGTAAGAGACCTTTTAAGATTGGCTTTTTAATTTAGTTTAATACCTTTAATGTACATCCAAGTTGTTATATAAGTAGTTCATTCCTTTTTATTCATTTTCTACATTTCCCATTTATGTAAGATATGCCATAGTTTGTTTTAACCATTCATAAAGGACATATTGGTTGTTAATGTTTTGGGGCTGTTACTATCTTAAAATATCAAAGGATATTCCCTTTGTAATTTGGTAAATGTTCACATGGAATTTTGGTGCAGTTCCTTTTATTTATTTGGGCTAAAGCTACAGACCATGGTACAACTAGTTTTTTCTCTCATTCTTACCATTACAAAGAATAGAAAAATTGGCCACATTGTTACTCTAATAGATCAACTTCCTAAAATGTTTTTTCTGTATTCCTTTCCACATAATAAATTACGCTTTCTAATTAGGAAGAAATTATATATACACCTAACTGTAATTTGGGGCGGGGGGTTGCACATAAACTTATCAGACAAATAAGCTGATTTTATTTCAATTAAATCTTTCAAGACATAACTTTCTAACCCTTTTTGTGGCTATTGTATGTACTACATGTGTGATTGCAAGGCATTACAGAATCATAAAGTGCTTTCCAAACCTACAGTTAAAGATGGTTACATCTGTTATAATTTGTATGTGTGTGTGCATATATATTTAACTTCTTTCTCTCATTTTTCTAATCTATAAAATAAGAACAGTCATACTTTGATCATCTGAGTTCCATCTGACTCCAAAATTTCATTTGTAGGATTACTTGAAAATGAATTTGTATATAGTACATAATAAAAATTTCACCTAAAATGGAGAAAGTACCTAAATACCCTATTGCTCAGAAGTGGTGAGGAGACATTGCCAAGTAAACATTAACCATGAAACAGAGATTACATTTATGTACACATATTAAAGGAATATTAATCTCTTGGTTCATGTTTTATATCAGATAAACCTACTGTACTAATAAGTTAATCACAAAATATAGCATAGTTTTTACTCTTAAATATTCTATCCCATTCAAGTTCACATTTATGTATACATATTAAAGAAATATTAATCTCTTGGTTGATGTTTTATATCGGATAAACCTACTGTACTATTAAGTTAATCACAAAATATAGCATAGTCTTTACTCTTAAATATTCTATCCCATTCAAGTTCACATTTATGTACAATATTAAAGGAATATTAATCTCTTGGTTGATGTTTTATATCGGATAAACCTACTATACTAATAAGTTAATCACAAAATATAGCATAGTCTTTACTCCTAAATATTCTGTCCCATTCAAGTTCACAGTTATTGATGCTATAAGCAGTTTCAGGACATTGGGAAGCAATAAAATTTCCATTTTTACATATCAATATAAATCTTGTGTTCTCTTGAAATTTCAGCAACTTTTTACCTTTGCTTAAAGGGATTTGTCAAACAGGTCACAATTAGAAATAAGCATTTGTCTAAGTGATGTATTTGTTTTAAATTTAACTAGATTGCTCTTAAACTTGGTGTGACTGCTGATGATGTAAAGAATGTCATTATCTGGGGAAATCATTCCTCAACTCAGTACCCAGATGTCAACCATGCCAAGGTGAAATTGCAAGGAAAGGAAGTTGGTGTTTATGAAGCTCTAAAAGATGACAGCTGGCTCAAGGGAGAATTCATCACGGTAAGAAAAATCTGTGAACCCCGCCTCACTAGCCAAGCATAAAGAACTCTTGAGGGATATAACATTGCTGACAGAGTATCTCTCCAAGTAATGAGAGAGGAAACCTCAAGGAGAGCAGGCCTTTCAGTCACTCTCCTGGCTGCGTACTTTGTTCCAGGATCATACTAAACCAGTCATGATCCAATCTGATTGGCAGTTGAGATTGTCTGTCAAAGTGAAAAAAAGTAGAGTATCCTCTAGTTATCTGGTTATCTTTATCCCAAGACCCATTTCTTTGTATGAAGTATGGTAAAGGTTCTATGGCAGCAGCCACCCTTTTTGGTACCAGGGACTGGCTTCATGGAAGACGGTGTTTTTACAGACCATAGGGTAGGGGGATCTGATAGGAAGCAAAGCTGGGACTATGATGCCAGTGATTGGGAGCAGCTGTCCATACAGATGAAGCTTTGCTCACTCACTTGCCACACTCACCTTCTATGTGGCCCAGAGATTGGGGGCCATAGTTCTATGCGGATTTATAGTTTTTTCTTTTCAAAAATACTAGTACTTATAACTTAATTAGGTTAGTAAGGACAGCATTTGGTACACATTAAGCTATGGTAGTAGCCTTTCACCCCAAGGTCAACTTGAAATTGATGAAAATTGATTTTGCTGTTATGATTAACACTGCTAACTTTGCCTGCCCTATCCCAGACTGTGCAGCAGCGGGGGGCTGCTGTCATCAAGGCTCGAAAACTATCCAGTGCAATGTCTGCTGCGAAAGCCATCTCTGACCACGTCAGAGACATCTGGTTTGGGACCCCAGAGGTGAGGATTCAAGTGATTTCTGTAGGTCACTCTTTTTATTTTGTCCCCTGGTGCTATAATGTAAAAAGAACATGGTCTTAACAGTCAGGTTAGGTTCATTTCCCACCTCAACTACCTACTAGCTGAATAGCCTTGGGAGTTTCTTAACCTTTCTGAGCTATTTTGTCAGGATTGTGAGGTTTAAATGAGATTATATATGGAAAACACCTAGCACAATGCCTGACACATGGTAGGGTTGACTTTTGTTTTCTTATTAAACCAGTATTGGGCCACAGCTTCCTCATCTGTAAAATGAGAATTATGTTTTCTCTGGCCTATTTCACACTTCATTTGGAAGAGTGGAATGAGATAGTATCAATGAACGTTTTCTGTCATGGAGTGCCTGGTGCTGGTGACAGTTCCTTATATAGTAATGAAGTTATGCACATAAAATCTCACCTGGTTTGATTTTGCTAGTTCACGTGTCAGTTGCAGAAACTAAAGGTATGCACTATGAGAACATAGAACATTGTTACTTGCAGGGAGAGTTTGTATCCATGGGCGTTATCTCTGATGGCAACTCCTATGGTATTCCTGATGATCTCCTCTACTCATTCCCTGTTGTAATCAAGGTAAGGTATTTTAGATTTTTTTTTCCCTTTTATGAGAAAGCAGTTACATGTTTTTCTTAAAAATGATGTAATAGGGGCCGGGCCCAGTGGCTCATGCCTGTAATCCTAGCACTTGGGAGGTCAAGGCAGGTGGATTGCCTGAGCTCATGGGTTCAAGACCAGCCTGAACCAAAGCAAGACCTCATCTCTAGCTTGGCGCCTATGGCTCAAGTGGCTAAGGCGCCAGCCACATACACCTAAGGTGGCAGGTTTGAATCCAGTCCAGGCCCGCCAAACAACAGTGATGGCTGCAACCAAAAAAAAGTAGCCAGGCATTGTGGTGGGCGCCTGTGGTCCCAACTGCTTGGGAAGCTGAAGCAGGAGACTCGCTTGAGCCCAGGAGTTGGAGGTTGCTGTGAGCTGTGATGCCACAGTACTCTGCCCAGGGGGACAGCTTGAGGCTCTGTCTCAAAAAAAAAAAAAAAGACCTCTCTAAAAATAGCCAGGCTTTGTGGCAGGAACCTATAATCCCAGCTACTTGGGAGGCTGAGACAAGAGAATCACCTGAGCCTAGGAGTTTGAGGTTGATGTGAGCTAAGATGCCACAGCACTCTTACTGAAGGCGACAAAGTGAGACTCTCCAAAGAAAGGGGTGGGGGGCAAAAGATTTGCATGATCTGAAAACAAAAGTATATTGTTGCTCTGTTTTATATTAATGCTGAAGCTAATAGCTTTTAAAGATTCTTTTAAGATTCAGGGGGGTTTAAGTTCAAGTGTCCTGTTTTCATAAGAATTATATGTGAATTAAGATCTGTGAATTAAGATCTGATGGATCTGATGTGAATTAAGATTTTAAGCTACTTCTCTAGAATCAGACTTAAACAGGCATATTTCTAGATACAAGTTCAAACTAGGTTATTGCTTGCTGGAAGATCAGTTCTAGTTTAATTGTAAATCTCTTATTTGCAATTATTTTCAAACAGAATAAGACCTGGAAGTTTGTTGAAGGTCTCCCGATTAATGATTTCTCACGTGAAAAGATGGATCTTACTGCCAAGGAACTGGCAGAAGAAAAAGAAACTGCTTTTGAGTTTCTTTCCACTGCCTGACTAGACAATCATTTTGATGTTACCAAATGCCCCAAAGCTAAAGGATCTAAATGTCGTCTTTGACTCTAGTACCAAATAATAATAAAGCTATACTTAAATTACTTGTGGAAAACAATGTATTTTAAAGATTGTGTGCTTCTTAGTACAGATTTGCAACAGTTCATCATCATGGTGTTAGTGCTACAATCTAAATAAATATATAATCAAATGAAAGTGACTTAGACTCTTAATTTCTAGTTAATATTTAGTGTCTGTTCAGAAAACAAACTTGTGTGTTTCCTAGCTTGCCTAATGGATTTTTTTCTTTATATTTTTAAATCAGGGAAAGACAGTAAAGCTAGAAAATGTTAGAAGCTAAAGCATAAATTTCTTAATTTAAATAGAGTAGGGAAACCTATCTTATGATAATGAATGAATCTTTATTTGGGGATATATTTTTAAACATTACCTAATTAGACAAATATTCATCTTTTTTTTTAAATCTTAAAGGTTAATTCATACTTTGTAGATGATTTGATTTTAAGATTAGCTTTTGAGTAGATTGAAGATAATACACTTTTACCAGTTTTATGCCATTAAATGAAATTAGAACATATACATAATAGGAAAAAATGATAAGTCTTCCCTCAAGGGATTATTCTTTAACAGAAAAGGAATCATTTATATTCCATAACCAGTAAATGCCATAGAAATGTATGTTATTGTTAATACATGTAGTTCTCAATCTAAGCTTCTTACTAGAAACATGTTATTTTTTAAAACTAGCCTTTTTTCAGGCAGCGCGTGGGGCTCAGTGGGTAGAGTGCTGGCCCCATATACTGAGGGTGGCAGGTTCAAGCCCGGCCCCAGCTAAACTGCAACAAAAAAAATAGCTGGGCATTGTAGCAGGCACCTGTAGTCCCAGCTACTCGGGAGGCTGAGGCAAGAGAATCGCCTAGGCCCAGGAGTTGGAGGTTGCTATGAGCTGTGTGACACCACAGCACTCTACTGAGGGCAACAAAGTAAGATTCTGTCTCTAT